GGAGTTCTGATGACTGAGGTGATTCTAGGTGTGGATATTTGATCTTTGTAGGCTGAGTGTTTCCGTCCTTGGCTTCTGCTAATCTCGGAAAGTGTGTGGCTGTGGGTTGCCTGCAGAGAGTGTTTTTGTAGTAGTGGGTGGCAGAGAGGAGTAAGAGATGGCCTAAGAGAAAGGGCTGAGAGAAGCCAAGGGAAAGAGCTAAGGGGTCCTGTCCACACCAAGAGGTGGACTCCCCAGGAAGTCAGAGATGTGATGTGAGGAAGAGCCCCTGAAAGTGAGTTACAGTAAGACAAAGAATAATCTGGAGAGACAGGGATGAGCAGGCTAGGAGGATCCTGCACTTGTATCAAGAGCCTCCACTGAATGGAATTAAAGTGGGAGAAGGGGCACCTTTGAGCTGGTTATTACAGAGCTGAGGGTAAGAAGGGGGGATGATAATGGAGGGCAGGAGGGATGGTGTGAATTGCCACAGGGGGCCCAGGTAGATAGTTAGTATGTCTTGGTATCGGAGGCTGACACAATGGAATGGGGATGGGTTAGAGAGGAAAGCCCACTGGAAGGAGGAAAGCTGGGTCTGTATCAAGGTTTGGTGTTAATTCCCAAAGAATGCATGTTTTGAATTGGTAAATAAAAATGATAGGTTTTATATGTTTTTTTAATCATGCAGCTTATTAAATTTGCCAATTCTGTGAGTCTTGGTAGAGTCTAGTTTTTTTTAATAGATAATGTCATTTGCAAACAAAGATTTTACTTCTCTTCATACACATACGTCCCTTTCATCATTGCTTTGGCTAAAGTGATATATTGAAAAAGAGTAGATATCCTTGTGTTTGGATAGGAGAAGAAACATGGTGAGGTTTTCCTCATGTTAGTATGGCATTGGCTACAGGTCTGTCACATGTAGAAGTTGTGTTGAGTACTGATTCTTCCATACCTGATCTGTTTGGGATAGTTATTGCATATGTTCTTTTTCTACATCTATAAAGATAATCACAATTTTTCATTAAGCTGATGTGTTGTTAGGTCTTTTAATTTTCATACGTTGAAACATTATTGCATTATTGCACCCCAGTAGTAAATCTCACTTTTCATGCTGTATAAACTTTTGGCTATGTAGTTAGAATTGATTTGCCAGTATTTTGTGTGTGTGTGTGGGGGGGGGGTGTTGTTAGTGTTGTCTGTTCATCAGTGATACTAGTTGTACCATTGTCTTGTTTTAGTGTCCGAGTCATGTTAACCTTGTACAATGAGATCTGACTTTAATTGAAATGTAGTGTCCAAATCACCTTGAAAGAGAAAATATTCTGTTGTCCCTTTGAGGAACTGCATGGTGTGTATATGTGTGTTTTAAATTAAAAAAGAAGAAAAGGGGGTGCATATTTAGTCACAGAGTGTTGTGTGTTGATTATGAAAGTGGCTAGGTGATCAGGGTGGAAAAGGAATTAATGAGGAAAAATTAAGACCAGACACCACTTAAAGATTTTTAGGACTTCAATGGTCATCAAATAGCAGGTATATAATCAAAAGCAAGAGAAAAAAATTAGGCAGTAGGGTGCTTACATCTAAAGAGGATGTGCAAAGGTTGCCAAGTTCTATTTGGTTACTGGGAGCAACATTTACCCTATGTAAACATCATCCTACACACACACACACACACACACACACACAAAAAAAAAAAAAAAAAAAAAAAAAAAAAAAAAAAAAAAAAAAAAAAAAAAAAAACAAAAAAAAAAAACAGAATTTTATTGGGAAGAAGAACAGCAGGATCAAAAACAATTAAAAGATTATTTTTATACTTTATAAAACGTAATACACAACACCTAGTGCACAATTAAGGTTATAAGTCATTAAACACATGGCTATTTTGGATCAAGGAACATATAAACAACATAGTTTTATTCCAGTAAAATTCTGGAAAACTAAATTTCTGTAGCACCAAATAAATAATATACTTTTGGAAAAAGTATTTAGCTAACTTATGCAGACTTTTGTACTAGCAAGAGGCCTGATATAACCAGGTATATGGTACCTTTGCTCTACTGGATAAAGTTTAGTCCAAAAGAATTGGCAGGTATCCAAGTTGGCCAGAAACTTGTTACCTAGAAATAGTGCTTGCAAAGCAGGGATGTTGGCTTTAAGTCAGGGCTCCTCAAAGAAAGGATACACAAAATAGAGATAGACTTGCCAGAATTCATTCCAAGGGCAGAGCATACTACCCCAATATCAGAAATGGAGCCCTACTAGCCATCAAAGCTCAAGAAAAAATGAAATGGAGAATTATAGCCCTCAAACTGCAGAACAGTGCAGTCCCAGGACATTGAACAAGACACTTCACTGTCTTACAGCATGCAGAGAGTAGAACAGTGCTGCTTCCAGCCAGACTCTGTAATTAGAAAAACAAACCCAAACTCACATGTTCAGAGACTCATGGGTAGTGACAAGTGGCCTAGCCCTGGGGTTCCACAAGTGAACCCAAAAATTGCTATGAAAGAAATGGCAAAGACTTTTGGCCATGCCAGTCTTGAAAAGGATTATAAGAAACCTCATTAAAAAAAAATTTGCCTCAGAAAGATGATTCAGAAACAACTGAGTATAATACCAGATAGAAGCACTAGCAAGAACATGAACATAGAGTGCAAACTACCTGAACTGAAGTTAATTAAAACAGCTACTATAAGCATACATTTCTACCCATAACTTTTACAAAGCGAGAATGGGACATACTAGGAATTCCCAAGGAAAGGGATAGGAAATAATGAGAAGGGAAGGAGAGAATGGACAGTAAAGACCCATATCCTAAAAAATATACCACTTGAGCTAGTGTGTATTTAAAGGACATACGGGCACCCCTGAAATAATGTAAGTGGAAAATGGTCTGGAGAGATGAGTCCGTCTTTAAGAGCACTTGCTGCTCTTTCAGATTTCCAGTACTCATGTTGAATGACTTAAAACTGCCTGTAACTCCAGCTCCAGGGGAATCTGACAGTTTTCTGGCTTCTGCAGGTATCTGCTCATACACATTGAAATACAAATAAGTCTTTAAAAAATTAAGTGGAACATAGATAGGAACCAGAAAGTCACATGGCACAAGATATGAAGGACAATACAGAGAGACATGAAGAACATAAAACACCACTGGAAAAGTTTAAATTCAGAATACTAACAAATATACACAAGCCAGATACTTTTTTGACTTCCTTATATAGTTAGACTATAGAACCAGTACAAAGCCAATGCTCACAAAAATATGCAATAACAATGTTGGACATCTCTACAGGATTAGGCTTAGCTTTAGCAGCCACTAAAGCAGCAGCTTTTACAAGTAGGGCATTAATGCTATGGAATGCAGCCTATGTATGGCCTAGGGTAGTAGGAAGTGAACAGAGAACCCATGTCAACACACAAGCAGTACCCCTTTATGAAGGGAGGCTACAATGGAATTTTCACTTGCCACATAATACTTGATGTAGGGTGATCTGTGAGAGCTGGTAGGAAATGATATTAATTACTAGAGGAGAAATAAGTTAGAGTTGATCTTATAAGCTGGATAATTCATTAATAAAGGTTTGTATATGATGACAGATTTTGCTTTCTCTGTCAACTGTCTACTCCAGATAATGAGCCTTCATGTAAAAGTAGGTATTAGGAACTACTAGTTTTGTTGTTTTTTTTTAACTCTTACTGGCTGTTAGTAGTAATGCAATTTATAATATAAGATCATCTGTTTTCACAATGTTAGAAGTAATAAATTGCTGGGATGGAATAAGGACTATACATTGGTAGTTCTTAAAATTCCATCTACTGCTGAGAAACATGTATTTAAAGAGACTAAATGCTTTGCTCAAAAATATTCTTGATTAAGGACTGTCTTTTTCTGAAGTCCATATTCTTTTTTTTTTTTTTTTTTTTTTTACATAAGCCCACAGCTGAG